TGAACTTTGTGCTTAGGATGTACAAGAAGTATGCACTGGCAGCTGCCATGGAAGTAGTTGTTCCAAGTAAAACCAAACGCCCATTAGCTTCACCAGTTCCAAGAGGCCTGCTTTTCTGGCCCAATTGTATCCCAAGTATTGCAACTACTCCATAAGCAACCATACCAATTAATGGAAGAGGAACACCTGGCAAATGAAAAAGGATGAAAACTGAATCTTTTTCCAAACATATTACCTGCAATTTAAGTGACATACTGCCTTCAATTTAATGATTTTCCAATCTGTGTCTTTCAGATCAAACAATACAGCTTACAATGTAACAAAATTAGCACTGCATTAGTTATTAAGTCTGACAACAAAATACACTACTATATATTATAATGTGCTACCTCCTCTGTGATATGTATGATTACCATCAAAAGGAGTTATAACATTTTGTTAGAAGAACAAATCACCCCAGTGTTTTTTTTTTTGACACGATAAAGGTCGAACAATTCACCTGTGTGTTATGCACACTATGCACATAAAGTATATGAGAGATTTACGAGCAATTAGAGCCCAATCAGTACGAGGATTAGGTGTTGCTACTTCCAGGAATTGGTTTATGTTGAGGCCTCACCACTATGAGATAAAATGGGTGCAACTTACAGCAATGTTTACTGTCAACATCTTCTTGTCAAGTATGTTGGACCAATTGATATTGGTTTTTCTAATTCTGGCTCCACACTGGAGTTTTGTAACCTCACTGCAATCAATGTGTGCCGGCTTATTGTAACACTGAGATAGGGAAAAGTCCTTTGATTCATCAATGAGTACTGGAATTGGAGTGGGTGGAAATGACGGTGACCTTATGGAGGCGAATTGGGTACAGCACAGGTTTCTCAGTCCGATTGCATTTCTAGGCATCCCATTCATTGATAATTCAAACTATCTACCTTACAGAGTCTCATTTGAAGACAACCGAAGATCATGTAACTTAAAAAAAGGCTATTATCAAACATATGCTGGTCTAATTAACAATAGATTTCTTCAGCTAATAACATCTTGTGTTTAGTAAGGTTTCTTGAAACCAACTTCATATTATGTCCTAAATTAATGTTTTAAACAAGCATAACTTACTCTCTCCATGTACAACAATAACAACATCTATGTTTTCCTAGTTAGTTGGGTCAGCTATATGAACTGCAAAGTTAACATGCTTTGGCTGGAGTAGTACTGGGATGGGGTTATCCCCGGGGAAACTCTGATTGTGCGAGCTTGCTCTATAGCTAATTGCAGGCCCGGATAAAGGAGGAAGGTTACGCTAGCTTGACAACCCATATAGAACTAATTAATTTACTACAATTACTTGCAATACAACAAATTTACTATCACCATTTAAAATTAGAAGCTTTACCATTGTCATCTTTGTATGTTTCATTACAAAGGATATGTTTTCAGAGATATTATACTACATAAATAGATGTATTCCTCTATTTATTCTTCCAAACAATATTTTCTTACAAACAAATAAAGCAATCCTATTGCATTACATGGTCTTCTATACAACAACATTACCTAATGTAATCCCAAGTGCGGTCTGGGGAGGGTGGCGTACCATGTACATCAGATCTTTCTCCTACCTCAAGAAGGTAGAATTATGTGTTCTTTACTAAAATCTTAAAAAGGGCTTCTTCAACTTCTTAGTCAAAATAAGACACTAAATTGAGGTAATAGGGATAAAGATTATTATGTCTGGTACGTACATAATTCATAAAGAGAATCAAACAAGAGGCTAGTCATAAAAGAGAGACGTGAATTGGTTAGACTTTGCCAAAACCCTAAAATAGAAATTGTATCCAATCACTTCTTCAGGTTCCCACCAATTTTACTTGTACAGATGTGTTAATATCTTCATATTATTCTTTTAAACAAAAATTTTAGATATATACTTATAGAAGGTTACAAAGATAGTCCTAAAGCAGAAAGTTCTTTTAAAGTCCAGATTTCCTAAAAATAGCACGGGATATTACCAAATACAGCTGAGTAGCTGCTGTTGAGGATGTCGCCACAGCTGGCACCATCACCAACAGGACAAAATGCTGCAGAGTTAGTTAACTTGAGGAACGTCAAGTAAGAAGTCTCAAGAAACCCAATCCCACCAAGAGCTGCACACCAATTGTATGCTGAAATGCCTGTATCAGCAGGAGTATCTGGCAATACCACCTTAGATTCTGATTCTGTCTCTGCATCTCCGACCTGCCTTGATGAGCAGTTCACTCGAAGCAACAACAGTCGCCGAACCGAATCTCTCTTTAAGAATCAAGCAATAAAAATGTCAACATTAGAGAAGAAGAAAAAAAAAGTGAATCTTGAAGAGATGAAGAGTAACTGTACCTTGAGTTGAACGAGAGAAGATATGGAATTAGAGCGAGATGGAAGAAGATGAGAGGTCTGGGTTGGAAAAGGAGAAGATGATACGCCGATGATACTGGCCATCAGCTCAGAATTGGATACCACCGGCCGTGAGTAGTGGTGGTTTGACTAGCTCTGCGGTGGTTGTTGGTCGTTGGTTGAAGTGCAGAAAATGTTGCTCGTTACTGAATACGGGGATTTGGACCGGAACAAATTTTGGGCTCTGGCTTATTTTACACAAAACATCCTTTGCTAAACTGTTTAGTAAGCCTTTGAACATTTTTGGGCTTGGAGTTCAACAAGAAAGCAAGTGAAATACTTAGTTATTATTGTCTAAATGTAATTTAATTTCTTGACACAACAACCTATTGAAAATAATATTTTTTATTTTTTGTGTATAGGTTTCACTCGTGAAATTAAATTGAATATGTTATTGCTTGTTATTTAAATAAAACTTGAGCTGAAACAAAAATATTGTAAATATATAAAGATTTTTTGAGTTTTGAAATCAATATTACTTTAGATTCAAAATATTTTCAATTAAGATTAATTGCTTCAAGTATTTATGAATATTTATGGACAAATTAGCAGTGAAAATATTGGTCCTCGCTAACTTTGAGTCACGTTAATTTTTGAATCAAGGTCTGATATATTTCTGATCTAAGAAATGTTATATCCATCTGGTCAGGTTGCATAAAATTTGATATGATTAGTAACAATGAAATTTGTGAAAATGTATGTATTGGAACCTCGACTGAACTTGAGAAAGTTGAAGATTTGCAAGTGTAAATCAACATTTCACTTTAAAAATATATCTTCAAATCAATATTATTTAAAATTTTACATAAAATTTGTATTTACAGGTATATTTACATTACAAGAATAATAAAACAGTACTTCATGCTCACAAACAGTGTTGTTCACCTTCATGTTACAAGAGTCGTTTGCACCTACTCTTGATTTTTCTTGTGAAAAAAAGTTTGTGGTATTCAATCAATAAATTATATAGTTTTTAGGATGCCGACTTGCCAAGTGATGTACATTTTCCCCAAAATTACTTAATTATCAAGAAGGAAGGCGACCTTTTAAACTCATTGATTACCACAATTCTTTTAAAAGATTTGAGTTTAATTATGTACATAAAACTCTATAACTATTCTCTTATTCCGTTCTTCAAGTGAAATATATGTCCAAACACAACTTCAACTTCTAAAAATCTTTTTTGAACTACAGTATTTTTTTTTAATTTTAATTTCACTCCATTCAATCCAAGTGCCTATTAAGTCTTTTTTGTTGGACTTTTATTTGCCCCAATTTCTTATCATAAATAGATTTTTCCTTTTAGGAAAAAGTTTTGGATTGACTAATCCTTTTTCTGGTAGGAAAATGTTTAGAATTCTATAAATAGAGACATGTTCCTTTTAAATTAATTAACATCCACTATGTAGTCTTAAAGGTTTTGAAAGTTTTGGTTAGGAGGAGAATTTGTGGATCACAAGCTTGATATGTTATCACTTGTGTGAACCTCCCATGTATTCGTAGTGAATTGGTTGAGATTGTTTCTCTCTGTATTTGTACTTTCATATTTATAATGGATTGCTCATCTCCTTTGTGGACGTAGGTCGATTGATCGAACCACGTTAAATCTTTGTGTTTTTTGATATATTTCTCATTGCACCTACTTATTTTCAATCCTAACATTTTTATGGACTAAAACCAGAAAGAAAAGAAGTTGTTAAAAGTTCACTTAAGAAACAGAAGAAGCTAGACCAGAATTTGCATGAAATGTGAGCAAATATCAATAAAGAGCACTCTTTGAAGTTTTCATTTATTTTCAAAACTATAATGTTTTCAAGTGAGTGCATCTCATCTTTTTTAGTTCAAGTTTCTATTTTCTTATGTTTGTTTCCCACATCGGAACCCAAAGCAGCACTCGTACGCAAGTATTCTGTAATAAAAGCCAAACACTTACACTGAATGAAGCATACCTTTCTCGGCCTTTTGGCTAAGATCAAGTGTAGTATCTGTTCTTATCAGTTTAATATCTGATATGTGGGTCATTGGCTCACACGATATTAACTCAATTTTTTAAGGGGAAGGGTCTATTAAGGTAGCTTGCTGCCTGGGCTCTTGCGCGTCGCCCATGCGTTGCACTGCTGCACGGGCCTGGCGCACCCCACCAATTTAAGTTACAATTTCTTTTGGTCTTTAATTTCGTTTTGTCTGTGATTACTGGGGTAATTTTAATTCTTAGTACTGTAAAATACAGTCATGTTACTCTACTAGTCAAATACCTTTTTCCCACTTTGTTTTTGGAAAAGCTCCATCTATAAGGTAATTCTACCGATAGACTTGTATGGAGGGAGTATTAGCATTTGCACAGGAATGAATATAATGTCCCTTTTGTACAGGAATGAATATTAATTTGTCATACTGACAATGCTCAATGTCCTCCTTTTGTAATCCTTTTTGCGTAGAATCTACTGGTAAGGGTTGTCATGCCAGCTATGAAGCAAATTCTTGCTACAAAAAAACTGCATCTCATATTGACTATGCTCGTCGGTATATAGCAGAAGCCAAATAACTTTCTAGTCTTTCTCGTAAGCATACCTTTCTCGGCCTTTTGACTAAAAGATCAAAGTGTAGTTTATATTCTTATCAGTTTTATATTTGAACCATTGATTAACACGAGACTAACTTGATTTTTTGACAGGATGAGATCATTATGGTGGTTTACTGCCTGGCCTCTTGCGCGTCGCCTATGCGTTGCACTATCGCACAGGCCCCGTGGAGGTATAATATTTTGTTGGGCCTTTTCTTTGCCTTTCCTGTTTAGTTTAGTCTAAGTATTCAATTACGCGGTTAAGTAAATTTATACTACTTAATTATTCATCAGATTATACTATTTAATTACTCATAGCTATAATTTGCTATAATTACCACTCAGGACAAACATTATTATATTAATCATGTGGGCTACTTCGAGTTTGTATAATCAACTATATTTGTATATGTATAATTCGCCAGAATATACAAATACATATGTATAATATACAATTATTTAATTTATATATTCACATCTCTCCCACTCTCTGGCCTTTTTTCGCTCGCCTCTCCCCTCGCTCTCCCAGTCTCGCTTGCTTTTTATACAAATGCATATGTATACTATAATTATCTAATCAATATATACATATACATTCACCTCTCTCCCACTCTCTGCCCTCTCCCGCTCCGCCTCTCTCCTCCCTCTTCCAATCCCGCTCGCCTCTCTCCTCTCTCTCTCAATCTTTCTTGCCATATATAGAGATACATACTATAATATACAATTATCTAACCAATATACATATTCATTCACCTCTCCCCCCTTTTGCCCTCTCTCTCCTCTCTCCTCCCTATAACATGTAGTTACGATTTGTAATTATCAAACTAGAATTATAATTATCAAACTATATATATGGAGAGTAATTAGAATATTTTTATGTGGTTATATGTAAAAGTTCCCCATTATTTATTAATGAGAAAATAGTCAAAAGCCCCTCCCAGCTATTATCGAATTCTCAACTACACACTTATTCTTCACGGGGTCCTATTACCCTCCTGAACTTTTTTAATGTGAAATATCCCTACAAACTCACGCCCAGATTTTTATTAGGTGGTACTCACCACGCGCTTCTACGTAAGATTACCCTTTTTTTCATATAAAAAAGTAATTATTCTTTTATATTTTCATCTCCTCCCTTTTTCTTTCTTTTCCCTTCCTCCATTTCTTTTTCCTTCCTCCATTTATTTTTCTTTGAAGCTTCTGCAAATTGATGAGAGGACACCATGACTATCAAAACTTCAACCTTCACCAAAATTCTAGACACTAACAAATTTCGTTTACTAAAAGTATAGACAAATGAAAAAGTCTATCACTAAATATTGCTTCTTCTTTTGATACTATCATGTTTCTCAAAGATTGATTCTTCAAAGAATCACCAGTAAATGATACTTGCTTGCCGGGATAAAGGTACCAAACTTGGAGGGACCAGTATTGATTTAGATTTTATCAATGTTTATATGAGAAATTTGATTTATATATGTACAACAATTGTAATAAATGGCTAATGATGAATTCTTCTCCATTAATTGAATCTATTACATAGTGAACTCCTCCATTAATACTAGTCTAAAGTTAAATTCTCTTGATTTTGATTTTGAGCTACCAACAAATTTTTAAAGTGATGAAAAGTAGAGATAGAAAAGTATGTGATTTGGTGATGAGATTGACTTAATGACGAAAACCTAATGAGAGCGGTAACCTGGTAGCCGAGTTGAGCCACCGCCGTTGTCTAATCTGATGATGAAGATTGAAGGGAAGAGATAAAGAAGGTAAAAAATAAATAAAAAGAAACATATTTTTAATTAAAAAATAGAATATTAATATGAAATAAAGTTAATATTTTAATTATCTTTTTATCTCTCACTCTCACTATCCCAAAGAGAGCGAACTACACCTTTGCCACATTAGCTTTTAGGAGCAAATAACTCCATTTTAAAATAGTTTAGGAGTATAATTAAATCCTCGTAAAGTATAAATATATAGCTAGGAAATCGAGTATAAATTGGAGGACTTTTGACTATTTTCTCTTTTATAAATTGAATGAAGTAATGCACAGAATTTGTAATTACGTGTTTGACCAAATTCCTGAATGTATTATGGGCTAGTTTGTGAGAAGTAGAAAATTGAGAATCTAAATTAAGTGTTAGATACGTCATGTTCTAACATTTTTTAGTAATTGGGGTAGTAAATTACCATAGTTGGCACCTGTATATAAATCATAGTAATTGGGGGTAGTAAATACTACCATAATTGGCACCTGTATATAAATAAATCTTAGTAATTTGGTTAGTAAATACCATAATTGGTACCTGTATATATTATTATCCAATAAGAGAAAATATCGTATCTGACCTCTCCTATTAAAAACTATTAAATAAATTAGGCATCCCTAAATACAAATTGATCAAGTCTAGATAACTGCATTTATAATCTTCAATATCCTTATAACGAAATTCCTAAGCCACTTAACGGGTTTTTGGTTCAGTTTCAGTCTTTTCTTTTTTTCTTTTTGGAATTTCAGTTTTTTGATTTAGTATAATGGTGCTCTTCCATGTATCTAAAAATCAATTTTTATTATTTAGAAAATATTTTAAATCTAAATTCACCTTTTAATCCATTTTGTTACTCTCTTTACTCTTTAGTTGCCACAAATTAAATCAGAATTTTTTTTTAAAAAAAATCAAAATTTCATCTAATACAAAAACGTTGTATGTTATTGATGTATGTTTGGTCAATAAATAGTTTGGTCTAAAATTAAAAAAAATTGGTCCTTATACTTTGATAATGTGGTGCTCATTTTATTTTTCATTTGCACTTACAAAAATATTTTAAAATCAACGAATTAAATCATATCGAAGCGAGAAAAAATCAAACCCAACTTATTTGATTCGATATTTACTATTTGCTTTTGAAAATTAAAAAATTAAATTTTTTAATACAGTAAAAAAAGCTATCGAATTTATTCGGACCGATAAATTGTTAGAAGAATCTTTAACAAGACATTTTATTACTGATTATGAATATGACAATATGTAACTGATCGAGAGGTGAATAATAATATTAAGGACATTGAAAAGTGTGCTTGTGGATAAAAGGAGGTTAGACTAGAGATAAATTAAAAAAAAAAAAAAGTAGGTCCATTTGGAACTTATCCAACCATAGAATAATCCAAGTCACTCTCACATCATTATCTGAATTATTACAAGTTGTGCAAAATTGGGATTCACATACATAATTCTTCTTTACGTGTCTATCTATCCATACACTTGAAAAAAACCCTCCTGTCTTCACCCATAAATATCAATCTCCCTTTCATTTCTCACCATCAAACAAAATAATTGAACAACTTCCACAGGAACAAACAATCATGAGAACTATTTCCCTTCATTCAACCTCATTTTCACTTGTTGAGTTCCATGGTACCAAGAATTTGGCACAAAGGTATATTTATATGCATTGAAAATTTTCGATTGAGTTCATTTTTTCTTCTTCTTCCAATGGGTGTTTCTTTTAACTCTGTTTTGTGATTTGAATGCTACTAGCAGCAGGATCAATAGATCGGTTTCGTTGATTCCAATGGCGAGGTCTCAATTTCAGCCTAAAATAAGACGTGACATTGGTACTAGCAATAGAAATCCAAGTTTTAGGTGGGTTTTTGAGTATATCCCCTGTTTTTGTGTTATTTCTCTGTTTTTGGCTTTAAAATGGGTGTTTGAACAAACAATTTTTGTAGCTGGATGGCAACAGTTGGAGAGAAAGTGCACAACTCCACGGTTCCTACTTCTGTTCCTGTTCGAGTTGCACTTGAATTGCTTCAAGCTGGCCATCGTTATTTAGATGTCAGGTAATGCAATTTATGTAAACAAAAAATATGCCCTTTAAATATTTATACTATTTCTTGCAATATATGATCAGAACAATTTAATTTTTTATCAATCGTTTGTATGGAAGATTCAATATTTTAAACATTTTTTTTTGCGCAGAACTACTGAGGAGTACAATGATGGGCATGCTGCTGGAGCCATAAACATTCCTTACATGCTTAGAATTGGCTCAGGTTTGATTATTAGTAATTTAATACTACTCCCTTTTTCTGAGTACTCGATGTTAACAATATTTAAGTTTTTCAAATATTTTTTTTACCAGTGTCCTCCTTATGATGCATGATAGATTTTTTTTTAAGTGTCATCGAGTTCTCAAAAATTGAAATGGTGGCAATTATTATGCCTGGTTTCTACTTTCTGGGTGTCGAATGTTTACATGTAAAATGTATTTTGTTCATCTTACTTCTCTTTCAATTTTCTTACTTGCTCATAAACGGAGGGTTATTTAATTTTATACACATGACTCTGTTACAATTCTCTGGTACCATTTTTATTTCTTTGAAAATATTTTGGCAACTTAGCAAACATAAATCATACAGAACTAGAGTTTTAGACCAACTTAAAGAACACTGTATTGTTTGGTGGTGTACATAAGAGTGATTTTTGGTTAGTCTTTGAAGATAAGTTTTTCAAGTATCTTTTTTCCTTCTTACGAAAATGATTATTTTTTTTTCGAGTGAATTGCATGTTTGAACACAATTTTAACTTTCAAATAACCCTTTTTTAACTTCAACTTTAGATACTATATTTTCTAGACCAGAATTTGCATGAAATGTGTTCAATTATGAACAAAGAGTACTCTCTGAAGTAGTACTCTGAAGTTTTATTGTTTTTCACGGTGATGTTTTATGCTACTGCATCAAGTTTCTGTTCTTCTTTGAGTGGTATATTAGTTTCCCACATCGGAACCCAAAGCAGGACTCGTACGCAAGTGTTGTGTAATAAAAGCCAAACACTTACTCAGTAATAGGCATACCTTTCTCGGCCTTTTGGCTAAGATCAAGTGTAGTATCTGTTCTTATCAGTTTAATATCTGATATGTGGGCCATTGGCTCACACGATATTAACTTAATTTTTTACGGGGAAGGGTCCATTAAGGTAGCTTGCTGCCTGGGCTCTTGCGCGTCGCCCATGCGTTGCACTGCTGCACGGGCCTGGCGCACCCCACCAATTCAAGTTCAACTTTCTGATTGTGTTTTTCATAGTTTTTCTGTACTTTTTCTACCCTAGATGCATAATCCCAGCAGTAACAGTTTCAAGCGTTTTTGCTCTGTATATGTGGTGCAGGGATGATAAAGAACCCCAATTTCTTGGAGGAAGTGTTGGAACAATTCGGGAAGGATGATGAGATTATAGTTGTAAGTCAGCAAAACTAGTAGTATATGATTTTTATTTCAAGCTTCAATTTCATGAGGTAAGGAATTATCAATTTCCTTTCTGCCTTTTTGTTGACTTGGCATTACAGGGATGCCAGTTGGGTAAGAGATCATTTATGGCTGCAACTGAACTTCTTGCTGCTGTAAGTCCCTTGCATAATACAGCTTTAGAATAGAAAATTCTTGAAAATGAAAGTATAATATAAATAAATCCCAAAGTAATTTCGGCCAAAAATTAAGAGTCTTAGAACGTGTAAAAGATTGAATTGTGATGTAATAAATCGACACATCTCATTAACTGCCTGCTATATATTGTGCAGGGATTTACTGGGGTGACTGACATTGCTGGTGGATATGCTGCGTGGACAGAGAGTGGACTTCCGATTGAGTCTTGAAGGCCTTTTATTTACTCACATATAAAAAGGGTAGATTTTTAAATAAGTACACACCAGTAGTCAACATGGCGAAATCAATTCCCTTTCTTCACATCAAAAATTAGAAGGAGCAACTTGCAAAATCTCTTGTACAGTAATTTATAGCAGGTGATGATGATATTCGATGTGGGAGAATCTGTATTGCAAGAAATATGTGTAAATATTGTTCTCCTAATTCTGCTATAATAAATAATATTTGCCTGAAAGGCCTCTCATCTGCTCATAACTTCTTCCCTCTACCAAAATGGTTGCAATGTTTGCTTTCATAAAGAAATTATAAAGTAAAGAACAAAGCTGTTAACTATCCGTGATTTTTTTCAGGAGCGGCTCAAGCATGTTAGTGGGCTAAAATAAAAATTAAACGGGGTCTTAAATTTGAATCATCAATAACGTTTATATAATTGATTTCTTCTAGTTTTTAATCGATTTATTTTAAATTATTTCTCAGAACTCTAAATATGTCAAATTTCTTCTATAATTCCTTCATTTTTATGAAAAGTTTACTTTTTCTACAAATAATATTTAATATTCGTTAAAAAATAATAACTTATAACCTATTATTATTATTAAAAACGAGGCTCTATAAATTTGAGGGTTTAAAATACTTGTCTATTTTTTTTAATACTGTCAAACGAAAATTGCAGACTTGTACTACTTTTTTTTGTTTTTGTTTTATGTTCTTCGGATTAATTTATAACAAGAAAAACTAACAAGCCAGCTTTATTTTACTTCGTTGCTTTGGATTGAAAACAAAGATAAATAAGTAGACGGTAGGTACATATAGATTAGGTGGTCTAATTGATCAACACACAAGGAAAATTAAATAATCTCATTCTTAAATTAAGGAATCTTAACGAATAACAACCAGATGGAAATGATTAAAAAGAATGGTTAGGCATTTGCAAATTTGAATTTTCTAGTGTGAAAAACATTTACACAATCAATAATTAGGATAACTTTTGCATATAGCCATTCAAAAATAGTTTAATTATGTTTTATAGCTATAATTTGCTATACGATACTTAGCTAGGCGAATTGTATGTGTATAATTGTCAAATATATATATATATATATATATATATATACACATATGTATTTGTACATCTGGCAATCGAGATCGAAAGAGGGAGGAGAGAGGCGAACGAGAGAGTGCATAGAGTAAAGAGCGGCGAACATAACTGTCAGATAATTGTATATATATATATAACTCATATACATATGTGTTTGTAATATCTGACGAGAGAGATTGTGGGAGGAAGGAAAGAAATGTGAGAGAGTGGAGATATGTATATTTTGTATCTGTATATGTATAAAAGAGGGCAAATGACGTAATTAAAGCTAAAATGATGTTGTGAGCCGAATTGATTCAAGCTATAACTATATTAGCTAATTAGCTAGTATATGTTTGCTTTTCCGCGTAATTTTTCCTAATTAGATGTTAAACATTTAAGATACATATTAATTGATAACTTGCTAAAAATGGTAATTATATTGGTCTATTATAACATATTAACATGTTAAGTTATATTGACGTTACGTATATAAAAACTAAATCAATCCCCTTTTTTAGTTTTATGTTTTTATCGTCTTTTGACTTTTGTAGAAATATTAGGAGTAGTTGGTATATGTTGAAGCATTAGTGGCCCCCTGCCCTGGTGTTGGAATGGTCCTTTGAAATACTTAAAAGTTACACAAAATCAATTTCATCTTGCCACGTTCTAGTAGACCCATTGTTCCATTCTCTTACTTTACTAACAAACATGTTGCCCACGCTTCCTTATTTCCACAATGTTACATAAAATCTGTGTCCAATTCAGTATCTCTGCTAGAACTGAGTTTGAAAAAAAGAATATCAAAGATGAGGATGTCCAAGAAGAATTGGTTTGGTAATATCAGAAAGAAACTATTCAGATCACATAAAAATATCATTCTTCTTCATAACAACACAATTACCAATAGGAACAGCAGCGCCAATGGACGCTCATCTACAAACAAAAATAATGTGCACACCTATTTTGTGTCTAAAGAGGATATGGCTGCTATTACTATCCAATCTCATTTTAGGGGTCATCTTGTAAGTTTTACTCAATTACCATATTCTTCTTTAATTTCACATAACTCACTGAGAAAATGCAAAACATATTGTCACTTACTTTTCCACGTGAAACAATAACTACAGTACTATTTTTCTTCCATATCGATTTACACGTGAAAAATATCTGTGGGAATAGACATTGAACATTTCTCAATGGGAAATTTCGCATTTATTAATACATGTGTTGTTTGATTCAATATTTTAGGCGAGACGGGCGTTTAAGGCACTCAAGAGCCTTGTGAGGCTTCAAGCAGTGGTGAGAGGGGCATGTGTGAGAAGACAAGCAAGGATAGCTCTGCATTGCATGCACGCCCTTGCACGGTTACAAGTTACTGTCCGAGCTAGACAACTCCTCAGCAAGTGCAATGACCGTTGATAAAAGAATTTTTTTTTTGGTGATCTGATAGTGTGTAAAAAAAAAATATTTTACAACGTTAAAGTACGTATAGAAGTTAAATTCTTGTGCTTCTTGTTTAGAACTGGTATTGCAACTAACAAATTTAAAATAAGTGTAAATCGTGTTGTTTCCACTGTTGCATTAGCATATGGTGTTTTCTTTTAGATTTATATATAGATCTTATAGGTGTGCTTTTTGTAAGCTTTTGAAGAATATGTCGATTATCTGAAAGATATGAATGATGTTCTTCTAAAGTACATCTATACACTATGTGCGCATGTGGTTACGTTGTAAGATGATCTAACAGTTAATTCTTTTCCATCTCTTAGTACCAAAAAAGTTATGTTTTCATCGTTATTTCTTTTTAAACTATACGCCTAGGATCTAGGAACCTCAAATTTCACTTCAATTCAATTGCAGAAGGTATCAATCTGTCTATCTCTACACATTGAAAGCTAGTCAAGGGGCAGAAAGAGGTTTGCTCATTCATTGTGATGATCGTTATATTTTATAGACATCTTGGTTTACGAAGCAATGATCTGGTGGCTAGAACCAGATAAAGAGGATGAAAATTCTCAATAAGAAAGGTACAAAAAAGGGTTAGGAATTAGAACTTGCGCAAATTCACAGTTATTCTGTAGAGAGTTGCCAAAGCTTTACTCACCAGCTTGCACCCCTGACTAAATTAGGAATAGTAAATGAATGCCAAGCGACATTAGATAAAAACCATGATTTTCAAAAACTAATCAGATCAAGTTTGGATATCAGAGAATCTGTACACCGAGACAAAAGCTGAAGGCCGATCAACCTCCTCTCTTTTAGTAAATTCTCAGTGATTGCCCTTTCTAAGAGACGAGAAAAAGCCACCGATTGATTTGTCCTTGTGTCTGTCCTCTCCATCATCTCCAACCTGTTTTTACAAACATACAAACCTAGGTTCAAAGAATGAACAAACTTAAATAAAACCAAGCTTATAAAATAAAAATGCCCACCTCCTTTGTTAGTTGCTTCAGAATATCCAAAATCTCCGAGAAATCTGGTCTCTGTGTTGGGTCTTGCTGCCAGCATTTTTCAAGAAGTTCAGCAAGCTTTGGATGAGTGCTCTTAGGAATTGTTGGCCGTAGACCCTGATAACCATGTTAAACCAAATGTGTGAGGTGTTGGTTTAACTGGGGAAGATATCAACAGTACTAATGATGACAGTGGACTTTATACTACCTGTTGCACCACACCTATTGCTGCTTGTAATGGTGTTAAGTATGCATATGGAATCTGCTCCATCACAGAACATGAACATTAGTTGAGGTGTCAAGCAACTAACACGTGAACACAAATACATGCCACGCAGAGACTTACTTCTCCAGTCAGAAGTTCCCACAGCACTATACCAAAGCTGAAAACATCAGCCTTGTGGTCATACGGTTTGTGTTCAATCACCTTCAACAAATAAAAACCATTTTAAGTACGACACTTGCATGCAGCACGATGTTTAAGCACAAAACTGGGATACAAATGACGGGGATAATGTAAGAGAATGTTGTAGTATTAAGAGGAAAATAAGTCAAAACCATTTACCAAGAGGTTCATATTTTTATACTTAATATTGCAGAATCAAATGTATCTCCATGGTATACTGTAAAGGAATCATGCAATGCATATTAACAAGTAATTCTGGTAGAAGGTTATTGAAATCTCCTTGTGCATGAAGTATCCAAGATGCATCAAGGTGAACACAGAAACACAATTCACAGCTGTATGAAAGTGAAAAGGTGACAACCACACTAAGAGTGTGAAAACAAAATCCAAGTACAAGGATAAAATTGCAAAAGTCAGAGAGAATCACACATATTAAAAGCACCTCGTGCTTAAACCACACAAGATGCTTGAGGTGTATCCCAAAGCACTAGGCCCAAATCAGCTCGAGGGGAACTATTGCAGTTATTTTATTGTGGAAACAAAATCTAAGCACGAGGATAAACGGAAAATTAGTGAGTAATCATGCATATCTGTCAGCAAGAAGATCAAAGAACTTAAAATCATGAATTTCAATTGGATTGAGGATATTGTAGCATAAAATTAAGTTCAGATCTTCTGCACCTCAGGAGCCATCCATCTATACGTTCCAGTTTCAGCTGTCATCACCCCAGTTTGAGTCTGCACTCTAGCAACCCCAAAGTCACCAACCTTAACAACCTGTTAAGGAGAGGATGGATCTTAAAAGTCAGAGTGAACATTCTGTAAACAAATCAAATAACGTGGGAAGTAACTCTGCCCAGCAGCAATTTAGGTGTTGCTGTGTGATTAAGCAAAGTTCATGAATAAATTTCCTTGGAAATGCAAAAACAGGTGATATAGAAATTAACAAGAAACCATGTACTATTTTGGACTTCACGTTTTTCAAAATATGAACCAAACTAAATTCCCACTGATCAAGCTTTAATACTGTGCTACTATTACTCATAGATTTTCTTTCTATAGAATTCAATGAGTAAGTGGACCGTGCAAAGGAACTTTTCCATCAACTTTATTTGTGGCATTTCTTCTAAAGGTTTTAATATTGCAGTCCAATCACGGCTTATGGTTCTTTCTCTTAAAATAGTTTTTAGAGGATATTGTCCATGTTTAGACATTTCAAATAGCCTATTAACAGGGTTCTGATCAATGAAAAACCTTGGACTTCTAAGTCATACAGATCTCACTGTTTGCATATTAACCTTGAATTGCCTTCATGTTTAATTGCACCCAAATTTTTGCGTGAGAATGTATGTACCAGTTTTAGGATAGCTTATTAACAGATGAAATGATACACTAGACTCCAAAAATATAATAATCTAGACAAGCTTTTTGAAACAGTTGCAGTACAGCTCTGACTTACTCCATGTTCATCCATCAGAAGATTGGCAGTCTTCAGATCACGATGAATTATGTTATTTTGGTGCAGATAACTCATTCCCTTAGAAACATCAATTGCAACCTTCAGGAGAGTAGGAAGCTTAAAAGCACCTCTTTGCTTGTGCAAAAAAGTATAGATGCTTCCTCTGGTCATGAACTCTGATCAATAAAATTATCAGATGCACCTTGTCATTAACGTGATGAAGAAGGATAGAGGTACACCAAAAAGTTACAAACATAAGCTGCCATTCAAGTGCAGTAGTGTGAGGAGAAAATTCAAAATTTGGAAAATGAATAAAAGCACACCTCTGCATATTAAACACTACGTATCTGCCGGCGAACATTATATAACAGTATTCAACAGAGAACAAACAGTTTCTCCAATTTATTAACCGACTTAGAAGTTCACTTTAAATATATAAAATCTTGAAATATACCTGTCACGATGCACAGGTTGGGAGGTCGTGTGCATGCCCCTATAAATTGAACAACATTTTTGTGCCGAATTTTCCTAAAACATAGCGAGACAAGATCTCAAAACTTGGTGAAAGAAATTTAGAAACAAGAAATAGGACGTTGGACTGATAAACACAAATTTAGTTATAAAATTCAAATTCACATATCCACTAATGTTTAAATTTGTAATTATTCCAAGACTTTAAGTGTGACTGGCAGAACCTAGTCCCTAGCATTATGTATGATCCATCCTTTTCATCCAAATAGCCTAATGCCACTAAAAAGAAAACAAAATAGCTGAGATCCGCATAAAGAAGAAATACCTAGTGACTCAACAAAGTATAAAGGAAACAGGACATTCAATTTACACGGCAAGAGTAAAATATTGTAAGATCTCTAGTGGCACAGAACAAATTTTTTCAATAGAGTACGACTCTATCTAGGAGTAAAAAAACAATCCCTCAAATAGACTTTTAACTATGGAAAGATTCTCTAATATACTTGAACAATAGTGAAGTTATGCTGAAAGGGATTCTCAACCATGATAGTACAACAGACACACCTCATGATAAAGACCTCTTGAGAGAACTCTTTTACCATATCCATATTCAAATTTTCAGGCTTGAGAACTTTTATAGCCACTTCCTGGCTACAGTATGTACCTTTATACCTGAAAAAGACACAGTATAAGTCCACCGACTCAACAAACTCATCTGGAAATCAAGATATGGATTGTTGGCTCATACAGATCTCCAAATGACCCAGATGCTACTTTATTTTCAAATTTCAGCAGGCGGATATCAATTTCCCAGTCATCAGATCCATCAGTAGGTATTTTTACACTATCGGAGCCTGATTCAGATGTTTGACCTGGTTCACTGATTGGAGGCAGGACTTGTGGCTGCTCCTGAAAAACATTACCAGAAGACAAAGCACTGAGACCATCTGTTCAATATGATAATCAAAATCTAGAAAACTATAAAAGAAAACTTGTTCAAATTTGAACCTACAATTAGTAAGTTCAGTTGGAATTATGTTTTAGTCAGTTACGAAAGTTTATCCTCCTATGCTTTAGGAGTCCTCAGGGTCGTGTCAAAGGCTTATATGCTAGTAGGAAAAACAGTGAACTGTTAGTACTTTTTATTTCTATTTGACAACATAGATTTGAGATGAGCTTAAATATAAGGTTAGTGATCCATACAACTGACCCCAACTTGACTGGATTGAGGCATAGTTATTGTTTTGATTCCTTCTATCATTTTATAACCAAGGATTAATGGTGGGGGAAGAAGAAGTAATGGGTATTTAAAAGTGGGGCAGACGACTGTAGGAGAAGGGGGAAATTTTTCGTCAAATTTTGCTTCAAACGCGCCTAGAGGCGGTGACAACACCTCCCATGACAGGTCAGCACTTAGGTGGGTAAAAAATAGATAAAAATATAGTTTAGGTGGGTAATGGGACACCCGTGTAGTTGGAGTGTGTAGTTGGATTTCGTGTATAGGTTGGGGGGCTTTTGATCATTTTCTCGTTTTGTTTTCTTACAAGCCCATTTAACATAAGTATCCTACCAACCTACGATTTTGTCAGGCATTTGAGCCCAAGTTGTCAAGTAATTATTAAGTTGAGCTTTAAAATTTACTGTGAGGATTCACATTTCTTTTTTCAGATGTAACCTTAGGACCTCCGTTATGCGCTGTGAAGCAGGATGTTAGAGAATATCTGCATGACTTCTAAACCTGCTATGCAATACATATATGAACCATAAATTCAGTTGATGTCAAAACTTACTTGAGCTATAGCTGTGTCTGCAATAACTGAAACTAATTCGGGGAGAGTTAGCAACAGAGCATTAACAGCATTACTGTAGTAGAAATAACAACTCTCTTCAATAAATTTGTCTGGAATATTAATACGATTGTTAAGTATGCTATCTTACTCATGGAAAGCATCAGACTAGCAAAAGTGAGCCAGAAATTCATAGAATATATATTTTGAGTATTTTTTTTAAAAAAAATCTGATCTTAATAACTAAGTGGACAACATACATTAACTATAAAATGCATAGCACCATTATGAAGACAATACAGCAAGATCAGCATTTGAAGATAGCCACATAAATCATATTAAGTAGATAATATTGAGTGCCAGAATTAATATCTACCTTGCTCCTCATAACTTCCTTTTGCACCTCACTCTTAAGCAACTCCGTCTCCTAGAATTTCAAACACAGATGAATAAGTATAAAAGTAAATTACTACAAAAGGGAAAAGAAGAAGAACGAGGGGTTGAATTTCCAAACTTCCATTTTAAAAATATACTAGATCCTCAATTCACCAAATAACATCTCAAGGTTTGAACAACCTATTAAGAGAAAATATATCTAGTTGAAAAATATGACTAGAATGAGAAAGTTATCACTTATCAGTACTATAGTTGTTCATCCTCACCATCTCATAGTATATAACAATATTTCACACTGGACATATCATAGATTTTAGTTTGATATATATTACTATATTACTAACAGTAGAAGAATATATACTAAGGTATGCCAACAAAGTTGGTTTAAACATTTGATGGAAAAAGAAATCACATCACAGTTCAGAGTTTAGAAGTTTGATGAGTTTGAATTATTGAAAGATGTATAGGAATGAAACGGTGTCAAATATTTCAGGGCTGTCCAAAATTGATGGGAGCCATATATACTGGGACATGAGGACGAAAAAACAGGGCTAAAACTAACACATAATCTACTAAATGATCAAGGAACATAATTTCAAAAACTTAACCTTGTTAACAAGAAATGACAAACTAAAGCTAAGAAATGACTGCTAAACTGCTAGTCAGCCTTTCATTATATCTCAAGAGGAACATTAATTCTGTACCTCATACGGCCATCCATCAACCACAAAGACATCCAAGGAGAAACCATCAGTAGTTGAAAAAACATGGGCCTCTTCAATGTTCAGACCAATCTCAGATATTATATTGGTCAACTGGAAATCCAGGATGGACATCAGTGCAAGTAAAGAAGATGAGAACACAGTTAACATGGTAAGATAAATATGTTTGATAGAACTCTGAAAATATGGCAGAATCTGCAGATTAATGAAGTTACATAACTTCCAGGACTGAACAGGAATGAATAATCTAATCAGAGATATAAGCTTAAATTGCACTAGACAGAAAGCAAATAAAAGATACAGATTTCGGTCCAGGTATACTGTCTCTATATTTTACGGAGACTGTTAGATTTGTAGGTACAACTATTGAGCATTTACATAAGAATTTCATATATTAACTTTGGAACATAATTGTATCAGAAAAGCAGATAGTCATGAAGACAAATATTCTTCAAAGCTAGGTATTAACTAGGGATGGCAATGGGGTAGTGCAGGCGGGCTGAGCTTAACCCGCAAAATTTTTAATCCGCCCATCCCGTATTACAACTTCTTTCCATTTTCAACCCGCTCCACCCAGCCCCGCATAATTTTTTTAATATTTTCTTTTTCTGGTTAACTTTGATACTAAAATAAAATTCATAAAAATAAATTATTTTTTCATAAAGTTGTATTAATTTAATAGATAATGACTTAAAATTTTATTTTGTAGAGATCAACTGGAAACATGTAAGAAATCGTATTATTTTTATTAAAACATTTTCATTTATTATTTTGAATATTTTAGTAGCTTTAGGTTTGAACCCATATAAAATCACATATACCCGCATCCCACCCCGCCCCGCATTAGCTTTAAAAAACCCACTTCAACCCGCCTCGCATCTCTCCCCCCGTGCATAGCCTTAAACCCACCCCACCACGCCCTATTGCCATCCCTAGTATTAACTGACTAACCCCACCCTCATCTCTTAGGTGCAGAAGTTAATCAAAGAATCAATCTGTGGGTCCATAAAAACAACTTTTCCTTATTATCCTCTGTTTCCCCTTAAGTGTAGTCTTCTATCACCCTTTTCATGTTTGGGGGGGGGGGGGGTGAATCAAGTAGTCTTCTCTATCAAATTTTATCTTGACTAAGATGCTTATACTATGCACTTGAGAAATAGAAATCAAACACCATATCATATCAGCTGAACGACTCAGCTAAAGGTCATTCTATCCATGCTTATTAATCTAGAATGAGTCTATCTTCAGTTATTATATGTGGTGAGTCCTATGACAGGTACGGTACTATCCATCCACAAAAAGGAATTCAAGGGATTTAACCTTTTTTCCTGTCAAATATTGGACTCATAATATCCACAACACAACAGGAATTCGAGGGGCTTAGCCTTATTTCTGGTTAAATTCACACTAGCTCTGCATAAGATAAATTCATGAAACTATAGTCTTTGTTTGATTATGAGAAGATAAAAGATGTATTTATGAACAAAAAGGGAGGAGGATTCCTAAAAGAATAAGGCACCTGAGTGAGCGTTTTTGGCTTGTCAATAGTTGAAAAAGTAATCTCGTGCATTGGCCTGCACAAAATCATTTGGCTCATAAGAAAGAAAAGTCAACTAGAAATCCTTTGTGAACAATAAATACACTTTCTATCAAAGCTATGAAGCCAAACTAGTATCATGGATCTTATCATCTTCAACTCAAGAAATAAGGCAATTCAACCTGGTTGTCCGCGAAGTTGAATTGATATCACTATCTCCATGATTCACATGAGCTTTATCATCATGAATTTCAAGGCCTTGAAGATTTGGTGATGAACCAAAAGTTGGAGGAGGATGAATGCTGGAGAGGGACAATATGGAAGCCCATAAATTAAATGATTTAACGAAGCACAATAGAGAAAAAACAAATGTGCAGAAGTAATATACAGAAAGAAGTTATACTGAAAAAAAGAAAAACTTAAATTCTTAAACTAAAGAGCATACCTTGGGATTTCTTCATTAACTGAAGGATCTACATCAACAGTATTGGTTGACGTTCCAGTGTACATAGGCTGAACCTGCATTATGAACTTAAAAATGAGAACATGCATGTAACAAGAATCTCTTGAAATTATAAAGTACTTGTCTTAGGCCAGGCCATGACTTGCATTCTCTTTTCTGTTGGTTTACAATATATATTCCAATATTAGTACAGGAATATGTACTAAGAGACTATCCTTTCTACATTATTTTCCAAGATTTCCCAGGACTTTCAAGATATATCCAATTGGATCCTGTTATGGTGCAACTGTTTCAACCACAGTCAAAGCTGGTCACGGATTATTACATGCTCAAATATTTGACTGGTTAGTCATTTGTAGCCATTTTGTGAATTCTTTTATATAAATAGCTATTCCATTGATTTGCTAAGATTTAATAAAAAAATTCTTTTCTCTTAGAGGAATGGCCTAGAGATCTAAATTTCTTCAATACAAGTCTAACCTCAAGTTGTCTTAGGATATTGAGGAGATATCAAAATCACTTTTACAGTAGGTTTACATATAATTCATACCCTCTTAAAGATCTCATATGATCTAAAGGGCATGAGTAAATGTCAATCCCATATTCTCTTCTCAAAGTATTCATGCCTTTAGATGTACGGTCTAATTACAAGACTTAAGAACCCATTCGACTTCCCATATTGCTAATCCATCACCCACAAATCACAAAGGCTTGTAGCCTCTATACTAAGAACGACCAATTTTATCTTATTCCCCTCATTACCTTCAACACACACCTTGCTCTTTGCATAACACCCTATTGCCATCAACGGAGATGTGCCCAAGGTGAACCAATTACAGAACATCTCCTATCTTATTAACAAATATGATATCCATTAAACTTTCTTCAAACAAGTCAATCCAGTGTACCTATTCTGTAATGAGCATCCATATTTTTATATTACTGTTACAAACACAACTGGTTGTGAGATTAACAACTCTCTACATTGGCACCAAGATAAGTCTCTGACCAGAATAATAATACTCCTAGCAAACACGAACACTAATGCAAGAGGAAGATTAAAAAAACTAAATTTTACTGCTAACATATTAGTACCACTAATATGGATACTTTTGCTTTCATTGTGTTCCATCATTAGCTTCATCCACATGATTCAGAAAAATTGTAAGTCTATAGGTACAATTTCCCTCCATGTGATTATAAGTCTAACTCGTCTTTAATCTCAAGTAGTTTTTCTCCTTTTATCCTCTATGAGTCCTACTTGCACTCTCTGTTGAATGTAAACTGTTGAAATGTGTGGCCACTTTATCCAAAAGCTTAATTATTTTAAAAATGACACTTTCATTTACTAAATTATGTTCTCAACATGCCCACTTGCATTCATCTTGACTTTTTCATGAGGTAAGCATGTAAAGAATCTTTTTGATTGTTGGTGACAATAAGACTCAAACTCAGAAAATTTTCCTTGATTTAAATGTTTAACTTGATAGAGAAGAAACAGCGTTGTTAACTTAATTATGTTTTCAACATGAACATTTCAAATCTTCTTTCTTTTTATCGTCAATGAGTGCTGCTTGCATTTTCTGCAGAATATGACCATCTAAAATCTTCTATGATCTCACATCCATAATTTTATATTAACATTTATCTTTTGGCTTCCAGCATCTTCTCTTTCTACTTGAAACACAAACTTCAATCCCCTTAAATGTGAAAACTGAAGCCTATCAGGATAAGAGAATGTTTTAAATGGTTTTAATTTGGTCATTGGAGAGTGTAACAGATGTAAAAATGAACAGCAGCACTAAAGAAAGTTCTCCATGCCCAACCTAAGGTAGCATGAAAGAGAAGTATGGGATGGATGAAAGAAATAAAAATATGGCTTTGACAAGATTATTGGCAAATTTACTAGTTTTTGCAACTGCTCTCGACTACTGTAAAAGCAATAAATAATAGATGCTGTGCTTCTCGGGAACATTTTACGTATTGAATCAAATCCCCAACTTGTTCAGCTACGATCAAATTAAAGACTCTTCCTTGTCATACATACGGAAAAGTTTTTACAAATATCATATCAACTTGGTATGGGTTTCCAGAGTTGTCAAGAGAAAAGAGCAAATTAGACATTCCACCTTGTCATACATACATAGGGAGAAGTTTTTCAAATGCCATATTCAGAGTTATCAAGAGAAAAAAGCATTTACAAGGCAAACACACATCAAAATGCACGAAAAGCAGATAAGAGTATAACCTGCACAAGGCGGACATCAAAGGCAGGTCTATTCTCAGGATCCTCCGCTATGTCCAGCAACCTCTTGTGCATGAGCACATCTTCTGCTCTTTCCACATTTACATCCGATGCATAACTGCACGCACCCAAATTCAGAAACAAAAAACTTCAAAACTTAAACTTCCGAGACAGAAAATGGATTAATTACTCAATTATCCAGTACAAAATAGAACAAATGGCAAAAAAAAATTTTAAAAAAAATGAGGAAAGATAGGGTTTATGAAGTTAACCGAACAGGGAGGCGATTAAAGTGAAGCCAAAGCTGGTCTTCAAAGCCAGGGAGTTTAACCTCTTGGAGATTCAAATCCTGTAGTCTACTAAGCACTTGGTTAAACACTTCATTCTTCTGCCTCTGTAGCCGATTTTGCTTGGGCGACAAGGGCTCCATCGCTCTGCTCCCGCAACTCTCGTTGTCGTCCATCGCCATTCACAAATACAAAATTACAGAATTCACAAAATCTCCTCCTCTTTGTAATGGATTTACAGGGGGGAAAAGTTGCAAGTAACAGTAGAGTAGCATAAGAAAGTAGTTTCCATAATTTAGAGAAAATTTTTCATGATGAACAGAAGGAATGGATTTAGAGTTGATTTGATGGGTAAATACGAGAAAGGGGACAAATTTTTTTTAGGGGAAAAGATGGAGGAGAGAGAATGAGAAGATTCCGTTTTTCTAGTTACAAAATTGGGTGCGGGGATTTATTAGTGCTTACGAAGATGGCATATGGGAAAAGAAGAAAAAAGTATACATCCCATTCTTACAAACAGTGGCTCCACATTTCTTCATGAGCTTATCCTCTTTGTGGGATCAGATCAACGCCGATTGTGGTGGATGATTTTAAAATTTTATTACTTCTAATTTTAAATTTGGATATAGATATTAAATAAAAGAGCTTTTTTTCAGCTGAGAATTAAATAAAGAAATTCAAAATTTAAATAGGAAAAATAACTTAAATACACAACTATAATTTTTATATTCTTCAATTTTCCCTACTTTTTTTAAATATTACATAATTCCCTTTTTTTTTTTAGTGTAAGTTTTTAGATATATTACATTCTCTCTCTTATAATACACATTTACCCATTTTAATGCCTATTTTTTCTCCATTAAAACACTCAACCTCTTAAATCAGTTTTTGAATTTTAAATTTTATCCATTTAAACACTCAACCTTTTAATCAGCTTTATGATTTTGAATTTTTAAATTTAATTAATTTTAATTAAAAGACCAAATTTTGAACTTTTGAATTTCAAAATTTAAAAAATTTGAAATTTAAAAAAGTAAAAATATCAGGAAGCATGACAACTTCCATTAACTTCTACCGTCTTCTTCTTACTCCATCAAATTTCAATTCTTTTTTTTCCTTAATCATCTTCATTCATTTTAACCCATTACATTTTTTTCTTTTCTTCTTTGCAAGATTCTTTCATAAATTAATTATTGGATTTACTACCTCTCTCGTTGATAAGTGCAAGCAAGCCTCGAATCCTCACTTTCATTCTTTAGCTCTATTATGGTAAATTCCTACATTGGAAAGAAAATAGGAAAAAGTTTTTTCATGATCCTATGAATCTTCAGAAGGATTCAAACAAAGACTCTGGCGAAATATCAAAATCAAAGGTTGTCAAAATACAACAAAAAAAAGAAAAAAGAAGCAGCAAACATTGTTGTTAGGCCTACATTGTTTCGGGTTAGTATTTTGGTACTTAAAACTGTTGTTGAAATTAATAAAAATTTTAAGGAATCTAGTGTGCTTGCCGATACATTTGAATAAGTGTGTATAGTGTTTTAGAGGTGAATTGATACATGAATTTGTTGTGTATCATAATATTTTATATGTATCATGAAATTTTGAAAATTGTTGTAATGTATCATTCAATAAGTTTCGTAAATGCGTCATCAACTGTGCTTGATGATACATATAGAATCAGTGTGTACAGTGTTTAGTCAATTCACTGATACATGTAGTAGATATATATCACATGTTTTGCATATAGTATGAATTACTGAAAACTGATATCATGTATAAGTAAGGTATTAGTTGTTTAGTTAATGTACTGATACATGTTTGAAAATTATTATAATGTATCATTCACTAAGTTTAATAAATACGTCATTAACTGTACTTGATGATACATATAGAATCAGTGTGTATATTGTTTAGTCGATGTTTCTCATACATGTATTAGATATGAAATTAAATCTCCAACAACGATTCCGTCGATTTTGTAACTTTCATACTGCAATTCGTTCACCCAAATTTCGGAATGTCTCATCAAAATCGAAGTATTCATCTTGAAAAATCCACTGTAACAACAATAAAATTATTGTAGTTCGAAATTTAACAGATTGTTCAAAAAAATTGTTTTCAAAATAGATGACATAATCTTTGTTTTTCAAAATTTGAAATTAATATCCAATTAAGTGCTGATTTTATGCTGATTAATGATATGTTATCGTAAATTTAGCTGTTTTATTAACAACATTAACTGTACTGTTTTTCCCCCTTTTTTTCTCAACAGTTTAAAATTACCATGTATCATTTACCATGTATCACTAGAGTCTAAAGTATCACGGCTCAACAAATTTAAGGGATTTTTTGTAAATACTAAATTTATCGGGACAAAATAAAATTATTGAATTACACTATGGGATTCTTTAAATTTTTACATTTAAATATCTCTTGTTCATCAAACTTTTTATTAACTTTTGACTTTTATATTACTTTTTTTTCTTAAGCCCTGTATTCATAGACTTTTTCAATTTATTTTATGATAATATTTTTTTTCTAGTGTAATATAGAAGTGGTCAAACTGTATATTCAAATTAATTCACTTTATAAAGTAACTATATCGATGTCATCGAAGAATTAATAAACGATGATTATATCTTTAAAAATGATAGTAATGTTTTCAATGATAGTTGTCAATAGTAAATATTCATATTATTTTGCTTTATAGCTAAATTACAAAGATATACATTGTTGGTATCTAAAAATTACTATGACCCTACTACTTGTTAAAATAGTTGGACTATAAATGGTCCTTAGCTCATGGCAAAGCTATTATTATCCGAGAGGTGTTAATTGACACTCCTTCCGAACAAGTGTGTGTGTATATATATATTTATCGATTACTTTTAATAAAAATTTTAGCTTCAATAGTGAGTATCATAAGTATATTCAGCATCCAAGTGGGGATATTCTTGAGCAACGTAATACGTATGTGGAATAGTTTTGTTTATTAAATAAAAACATTTGTTGAGCATAAAAACCAAAAAGCGATGAGGTGGAATCCACATGTTATGGTCAGTATGACTTTGGATAACGGAGTATAAAATATAATAATAATAATAATAAAAATATTATCATCTTCTTTTGGCTCAGAAGGACCATATGGTATTGCTGTGGCAACACGAAGCCGCTAGACTGTAACATACAACAAATTGTATTATAAAAATCTACTGACAATAAATACGACCCTTTCTTGATTTTTTTTTTTTCTATAAATAAATGAAACTATGCTAATGATGTTTAAAATTGGATTATAAAATTAAGCTCTTCTTTATCTTCTGACGTGTATTGTATTTTAAGCTTTTGTTAATGGCTTAAAATATTACTTTAGTGTGCTCTTTTAGGAAAGTGCGATGTAATTATTAAGTTGATGTAGATATATATATATTTCTACATCTTCAAAGTCAATATGATGTTTGTTTGACTACCTGATGGAAGTGGACAATTAGGTTTTTTTAACTAGCTTGTTAGGGTAATTAATTAAGTTATCACAAGAAGTTAACTATATTAATTTATCATAAAAATAAGAAATTAAATAAAAGTGATTTGAAATTTGACACACATTTAAGAACATTAATCAAAGAAAATTTATGGTCATATATATTTCCAGACTCTTTTAAAAAGTAAATATATTCATTATTTGAGATTTAGAAGTAGATAAAATAAAAAATAATAATATAATTTGTACGTTAAAATAATTATTTATGTAGAATTTGAATTGTTTTTTTATCATTGAACTAGAGGGAGTATCTATAATAATAATAAAAATTATAACATAAAAACTCACTTATCTAAATATGAAATGAGTAAGTATACTTGAAAGAAAATAATTAATGCCTTTTTAATTATGTTAAGTTTTACTTATTTTGGGATCAAAGTAAAAAAGCTAAGTAAATAAATATATATTATAAATTTACAAAATAAAAATAATTGTCTTATATACTAGATGAAAATTCTAGCTTCATTAGATAAATTAATAATAAAAATTTTAAATTAATTATAAATAGTGACATAATATTTTTAATTAATCCACGAATAATGACAGATCAAATGATAAAAAGTAAGATCAAAGTGACAGACAGTCAAAATGAGCTTTGAATGTGTTGTCTGCACCTCTTAGTTAAGACCTGAATTTCATTTCCATGTTTAATGGGAATATGTGTCATCAACGTGTCGCCATATATGATGTATATTTTGTTTCTATCTTCTTCTCTATTTTTAGTTTTTTTCAAGTTCCAATATTACCAAGTAATTATATATTATACCAATATGGATGTGATGCACGGAGTGTTTGATTCTTAATCAAAAATTTTAAATTTAAATTTTAAATATGAAGAAAATATTATTAAGTGTGTTATCTTTGAATGAATCCTATAAAAACATAATTCATATTTAGTCGAAGCTTTAATATAGACTTCAAAAAATCAAAAGAAAAAAAGATAATTATATGTTGTATTTTAATGCAACTCGTTGACATCTTTTTACTAACATACATTGAACCTAGAATATATGAGAATTGAGATGAAGAAGAAAATGGATTAAGAAATTCAAAATCGTATCCTTTGCCTATCTACTTTAGTCGTCTTCCCCCCACATGGTCAGCCTAATTATTATAATTACAATTATTAGCCGTCATATAATACGATATTTTTGTCCAATTATTTTTAATTAATTCAATGCAGCTACTTCCTTTTTTTAGAACGCTAAGATCCAACATAGGTTCTTTTAATTATAAGTACTTGGATGCATCGTTTTGCTCACAAATTTCAAGAACTCAATGAACTTTGATTTTTTGCCACTCGTAATTGTTTGAGATAAGTTTGACCAAACTAGCAGTTAAGAAATTATAAGTTCAAATTTCATCAAATACGCATATCTTTATATTGTTTTGTTAAAAGTATTTACTTAGTTCATCATGTAAATCACATAGATATAATAGCTGCTTGTTTTGTATAAGAAATAAATGAAAAAGAAAGATGTAAAAACACCTATTGGACTGTTATATGCATCTAAAAACAGAAGAGATGTACGTGTATGAGAATACTCGGGGGTGGGGTGACAAAATCAAACTCAATTCGTTCAATCCGTTTAAGTTTGAATGAGTTATTGATCGGATCATTTATTAACTCAACCCTTTTCAACTCATTAAAAACTGAGTTGATATGTAATTCGAATTGACTCACGAGTAATATCGTTAAAATATTTGTAAAAACATCCTATTTCAATTTGATCTTTTACATATCCATAATAAAATCATAAACTTTTATTAGATACTAAAATAGTTTAAAAGAACGAATAGAACAATTACTAGTAAAATGTAAATTGAGTTAGATCTTGACCATTATATAACCTACTACATAACCTTTTTTTACCTAAGCGAATTTGTGTTGACTTGAATCATAACTCAATTGACGATTATTATCTGAACACATTATTATGGTTTGTCCAAACTTAACCTAACCCACTCACTTATAGCCCTAAAAAAGTCTATACTTCAAAATTCTGATATACATTTTTCAACGTTAACTATAAATGCCTAGAGTATAGAGTATTTTATACGACTATAAAGGGATAGTTGAAAACTAATGGAATTAATAATGGGGTTTGGTGACACAAGAGGAGGTCATAAAAGTGCCACCTCTGAAAGTATTATCCTCTCAATTTGACACCAATCTTGGCTGAAGTTAGTCCACCTATACCTGCAATTCGAAATTAAAAGTATTGACAATTTGTTGGGTAAATTGATTAAGTCATAGTCAGGTATTCTCGACCCACCAAGTGAAACTTTTTGTTTTTTGGTCACAACTGCGCTAAGACCCTAAGATTAAAGCTATGTTAAGTGGCAATAAATAAATAAATATCGTAGGTATGCAAAAATAAATAAGATTCATAATTAATTGTATTTAACGAACTCTGTCGTCTCAAAATGAAAAATTATCACCAAAGTGTTGAATAGTTAATGGACTTGTAGCCCAACGGCATCCTATTTGGGCTGAGAGATATCATTTTTCAGGATTGAAAATTATATAGAAATCAAATTATTAATATCTATAGTTTAATTTAATTGTAATTTATAGCAAAAGTTGTCATTTGCCACTCTTTGTTTTTCATTGACGGTCTCTCTCTTCTCTCTCACTTTATACAAATATGAATGTATAAAATGTGTTTGTGCATGTATAACTCGAGAGAAAACTTTATATACAAATACAAATACATATATGTCCTATACACTTATAATTATATAAATACAAATCTTCTCCTCTTTCGCTTTGTACAAAAACAGATTATAGAAATTACAATGTATAATTTGTGTTGTATAAAGCGAGAATTTATACAAATTTAAATTTTATGCAAATATACAAACACATAAAATTGAATTGAGAGGCTATCAGCGAGTTATACAAACGAGAGGCTATCAGAAATTTATACAGATGAGAGGCTGCAAACGATTTATACAAATCTGATGCTCCATAGCAAATATAAAGTTTGCTAAGAAACACGATTATACAAACTATAGTTATAGCATAAAAATAAAATTTTAATGTTTGTTGAACCTAAAATTTACTTTTTTTTATGATAGTATACACCCACAAGGGACAAAGATGTAAATGGTGATTTATAAGAATGACTTTGAAAATAGTTAGAGCTGGAATTTTTTTTATCACGATTATTCATAAGAATTACCTGCAGTTTGGGCTTAAAAATTTGTCAAGAAAGCAAACGGGGGTTGAAAATTCAAGACCAACAATCTTCAAGATAATTGGATATAATTTCTTGAAAAACTTACTTTTATAAGATTTTTATTAAAAATTATACTAATTTCATGATAAAGTCTAGAGCAATCGAAATGGACGTGATCCAATGATAGTCTAACCCAACCAGTAGGAGTTATGTTTGGGTTGAGAATTTTTAAGCTCATTTAAAAACTTTAGAAGTTTTGACTCTTAATCTTCGCCCCATTGGGCTCATCGGCTCCAAAGATTGGGCCGAAATTGGCCCCTGAGGCCCAAGAGTAAAGCAAGTTTCCAAAAAGTAATAGGAAAAAGAAAAGGAGAGATTACAGAAATACACAATTTTTGTTTCATTTATTTCTCCATTATTCTCTATTATTTTTAAAAAAAAAACTTAAAAATTATTTATTTTTCTAATGTATCAGAATTGTATATTAATGTATCTGAGCTAGTTTATAATGAATCTGAGCTGCATATTAATGTATCTGAGACAATATTTAATGTATTCGAATTACGTATTAATGTATCCGAGCTTCAATTATTGTATTCAAATTTTTTTAACTTATAAGGGATTAATGTAATGAAAAACTTATCAGGGGTAGATTATAATTTCATATTAAAGTATGTGATTTATGTAATATACCAAGAAAAATAATATAAAAACATAACTTATTTTACTATATTTTCTAAAATGTCATGTCATTTGAAAAAATTATAAAAATAAACATTCTATTCTATTCTCGGTTACGTCACTTGACGAGATATATCGGGGCGTTGAATGATGTATTCAAAATTAAGACATGATGTGTTAGACATTGAACAATGTACATGAAACCGGAAAAACGATGTATCATGACGTTTTGGGGTATATAAATTTCACAAATTTAAGAGATTTTTATAATTTGAAAAGAGTACAATTATGATACAATTAGTTCTTAACACTGCGAAATATGTGCAAGATTCACTAGAGTAGTGTTTTTAAATTTAAACATATATCTTAATATTAAAATAAATTTAAAAATGTCTAAATAAATTTTAATACAAATCATAATAATTAATTGTTTATTCTAATTCAAATTCTAATGAAATCTTCCAAACTCTAGTGTACTTGCTAGCATAGTAGTATAAAGGAATTGTAATAAAGAAAACCACAACGTTTTTCTTAAATCTTAAGTGGGTTCTCGTGAGTGTTAATAACTTGTATTAAAACATTGTATTTATATTGAGAAATTTACAAGTTAGGTGATAAATATGTTTGGATATTCAATAACAAAACAAACTAGCTATATTGATCCAATGGCAAAAAAAAAAAAAAGAACTCACTTAAGGTTTGCTAATTGCATCCTTAAATTGAAAATTCATATATTTTAAAATTTTGAACCATTAACCATCTAATCTAAACATATTACGTACGTGTAACAAAAAAGCTTCTAGCCTCGATAGGAATAACAAAAAAGCATAAGAACCATAACAATTAAGGTCATTAGTACATGCAAATGCACATTTTTTTTGCAAGTTTGTTTAAGTCAATACAAAACCACTAATTATTATAAACTGTAGCATTAATTTCTATGAAAATAAAGACAATGAACCAAGTCATCCTGTGATAACAACAATTGTGATTGTGACCAATATAATTAATTTCTACTATAACTATAACATTTTATTTATTTTTACCTTTTCCTTTTCAGGGAAAGATACTCTTATAAGTAAAGAAACACAACCTCATAATTCATAAGATTATAACCACTGCCAAATAAAACAATGAATCTATTTAAAGAAAATAGCATAATACACAAATAAGGTATATATAGGGAAAAAATAGAGAAAAGACAAATACTCCCTATCATTCTTATTTGTTCCTACATAAATTTTGAGAAACATTTTAAGTTACCAACATGTTCTATCTTTCGATTCCCCCACAAATTACAAAATTAAATTCACAAGTACAAATAGTATGTTCTTCATTAATCCTAGCAAAAGGACAAATCCATTATTTTAGAGAAAAATCAAAGTGGAACTAAAATAAAATAGTCCATATAAACAAGCTGGTTATAGCCTCAGTAACGCTATGGACATTCACATATAGATCCACCAAATATCGCACAATATTCATTTATTGTCATGCTTAATTATTAGCCAAATGCAAAGTCTAGGACAGACATATATACATGAAAAAGAAGATGAAAAAATAAATAAGAATGGACTAATAATCAATACTAATTAATTATTCAAATTTTAATTTTCAGCTGGTCCAGTACCTGACTTACAATTCAAATTCCATGGATCTTATTTTTTATTTTTCAGGAATTGAACCTAAGCCAAAAATCTTTGAGAAATTTTATTCATCTGAACACGATATATAATTAAATTAAATTCAATAATAAATTAGAGGAACAAACCCTAGATGGTAATGCATGACGAATTGCCTGCAGTTATATATTAGGTAGAGAAAGTGAAAGTGAAAGAGAAACTGAGATATTGGCACGGCTCAATCAAACGAAAAACGAAAACTCAACCATTCAAATATAGTTTACATTTTGTTGTCTGAGTGAACCAGGCCAATATCAAAGTTACTGTTTCATAGGGGAATAATAATAATAAGTGAAAACTGAGAATTCATATAGCCGATCTCAATTTATTTGAACGGACGAAAAAAAAAGGGAAAAACTAAAAGAGGGAGAAAAGATTGAATATTTTGAGTAGAAGAATGGGAATGTCTTGGGGTAAATTTAAGGAGGAAGGAGAGAAGGGGTGGTGTGTTTAGAGTGCATTTAAAACTGCGACTACCAAAGCACAAGGACAGGGCCACTGCATTTAACTCCATTATTCTTTTCCTCATCTTCTTCGACATGAATTTAATCGAGATATATGAAAATTAAATCATATATATATATATATATATATAATTTTTTAAATTATAATTATAAAAAATTTATAATCAAATAATACAATATTTTTAGGATTACACAGACTCTAAATTACTTTTTTATTTAAAAAAAAATTATGTTACATAAATTAAAAGTGAAAAAATAATTATACTTTTCAGTGAAGTGGAAACTAATTGGGGTATAAGTTGAATGGTCAAAGTAAAATTAGTATTTGAAATCTTTTAAGAGTATTTGTCTTTGCTTCTCACTTATTTATGATGCTATTATACTTGAAACTTCACTTATCAACCCACTCTTCCGAGTTACTTCCTCCATCTCAACTCCAACTTATTTGTGGTGATATATTTTTAAAGAATAGCTATTTCATATTATTCATTCCATTTTATTATTATTTAATACTTATATTAAAATTTACTTATCCGTTTTAACAAATTAAGAGAGAAGTTAAATATTTTCATCTTAACATTAAAATAATTATATAAATACTTTTTTAATCAATGTCACAAATCAACATGGACCAGAGGGAGCATTTCTCATTTAAAAAGTTTAAAGCAAAATCAATCAGTACTAATAGCTGCATGCATAATATATACGTTAAACTAAATTGAAGTCCATATCTTCTAGAGAATCGATATGCATGGTAAGAGTTTATATAACGGACCCCTACACATATTGTAGCAAGAGATCGACTGACTATCATAGAAATTAATATAAGCAAAAGAGTGGTACAAAGGGCATGAGTGTTTAAAAGATATTGAATGGTACAAAGGGGTAAAAATTGTTATTCAAGAGTGGGTGACATAACACGAAAAGAACGTGAGTTATTTCATTCATAATCAAAAATTTAATTTAATTGAATTCTAATAGAAACGCATATATTAAAAATAAAAAAAAAATATTAAATGAGAGAGGAAAAGGAAAGGATGGCCCATGATGGTGATACTGAAGGACTACCAACCAAGTGAGTATGAATCATAAATGAGAAGAGGGAAAGGGAATCTCTCTTTAATTTTCTCAGTCGCATACATAAATAAATTCACTGAAGGGGGAGATGGATAGGCATATAGGGCATCCCACATATTTAATGTAAAACTAACCAGACCCAGCAAGGGAATCAAATTAAAGTTTATCGACCTTTTTGGAGTTACCTTTATCGGTGAATTCAAAATTTAAATTTACTTAATTGATAATAATTGTAATGTTGTTATATATACTCTCTTTGTTTATTTTCATTTGTTATAGTGTACTTTTCGATAGTCAATTTGACTAATTTCAAAGTTAAATTACGTTATATTAATTTAATATTTTAAATAAAAAATTTAGATATTCAAAAAATATGTGAAAAGTACTATAAATTGCATTTTTTTGCATATCAATATAATGTAAAAATGCATCTTAAAAATTTTAATTAAAGTTCTTACAGTTTAACTTTAAAAAAAAATTATGACATATAATAATGGACGGAGAAATTACCGTATATAGTTGTATATGTGGAGGAGGTAAGCTTAGTTAATTAGCTTTTTCTTTAAAAAAAACAATAATCTTAATTCATTTTTATTCATAAAAAATGGGTTGATATATAGTTCAAATAGACCCAAAAAACAGTGTTTTTTATTTAATTGTTATATATAATTAAAGATTTTTTTTAATTAGGCATACTAGAAATTTATAAAAGATAGACAAATACAACAATTAAGACTTTAATTAAAATTGATCAAATTGAATTATTCTCGCATGTTAGCTTATTTCTATTCAATTTTTTTAATTAATTCAATTCATTTGATCTATTTAAATTCAGTATAACCTGCTTACTTAGCACCTTATATATATATAGTATAGTTAAAAACCTACGTATGTATAGATCATACAATATTTTAGATCTGCCTCTATTCTCAAAGAAGCACGAAGTAACTACTTTCGAATCTAGGCTTAGCTTCTTCTCTTCCTTCATGAACGGCGAATCACTTTGTATTACAGTTGTGCCATTGTGTCGCATCTCTAAAAAACTTTATCAGGCCCGTTTGGATGGGCTTAATAAAAGCAGCTTTAAAAAAGTACTTTTAAAAGTGCTGAAACTTATTTTTAAAATAAGCAGTTATGTGTTTGGATAAAAGTGCTGAAGTTGTTATGTCAAACGTGAAAAGGAATAAATGGAAGAAAGAAATGTTAGGGTTATATGGGTAATTTGGAGATTGTATAAAAATATTAAGCACAAAAAGATAAAAATGTGGTCAACTTAAAACAGCTTATAAGCTAAAAATAAAAAAGCACCCCTACCCCAGCTTTTAACTTTTGGCTTAAAATAAATTTTTTTTAACTTAAAATAAGCTGTTTTGAGTATTGCCAAACAGCTAAATAAGTCAAAAACCAGCTTTTAAGTCAGTTTGACCAGCTTTTAAGCTGAGCCAAACAGGCTCTTAAAATATAAGAAAGTAAATTCACATAGAAAATTTAATAAAAAAATGAACTCATACAAAAGTTAAAGAATATTTATTAAAATTTTCAGACGAAAGGAATTGAGATAAATTATTTACCTTTTGGCAGGAGAGTGTGTTTAATGTTTTAAGCTTATGCTCGTGACAAATTCAGATACAATATGGGAGTCATTTAAGAGAGTCTTCACATTTGCTGGCTATTCTGCATATAAAACCAACCAATATTAGATTTGATTCCTGTAGTGGGCAACTTGCAACTTCTTTTTTACAGAATCACTAGGGACCAATTACTATTCTTAGCAAACCATTTTAATTTTTTCAAAATTTTTTTATGACCCCTACTACATAATTAATTATTCCTTTTTTCCTTGTTTCTTTTCTTGGATAATTTTAAATTTCACTTTCAATCCAAACAATGAAGAAGAAGAAGGAAAATTTTAAGTGTACAAGATGAAACTAAAAATTCGAAATTACTGATAAAGCTGTATGGTGGTCTAGCCTAGGTAGCTAGCTAGTCCAAAATTAAATGGATACAAAAGAATTTGGCATGGTCACGCACAATTCAAACAATTTTTATTCGAAACACTAAAACATTGTGGTACATATATATTAAAGAAAAACAGTTCAAGCATTTAATATGTGCTGTAGATATCTACTATTGCTAACGGCCCGTATGGTCATGCGATATAATATCATAGATGAAATTATGAGATGAATTTTTTTTTACCTGCGATATGAAATTCTTTTGTGGTGTATTTTCTCATAAATATAATAATATCATAAATTGTAAAACTATTGAAATAGTTTCAATTATTTATTCAATCTTATCAAATAAATAAAGTTTATAAATTATTACGGAACTATTTGTTCTCTACTTAAGTAATTGTTTCATCAAATTGTAATTCAATAAAAATATTGAACATAAATTGTAGTGTACTAGTATGTAATATAATCCTCCCAGTATGAACAATTTCCTGACACGGAACTTGTATTTCTTGATCATGTGATGAAGAAACGAACCAACATTGTTACTTTGAGTTGTAATAAATACAAAATGATAGAATTTAGAAGTAATAAATTAGGTCTTCGAGTAAATGTAGAAAAAAAATTAATACTCAACAATCGATTGGTGTGAGTTAAAGTAACATGTGTTGGTGAGAATAATAAATTTTAAAAATTATTAATGTAATTATAAATTTTATTTACATATGAAAGAAATGGATAAGTAGATATAAATGCAAGTTTTGTTTTAATAAAATATAAATTTGTAGATTAATTTTTGTATTAAAAATATCTCAAATCATGTTATGATTTCCATATTATAATTTTAAAAAAATATGAAATCACATCTCATGGAGTCATGAAATAAAATTAACATAAAGTTATATATCCAAAAGCTGATTCCATATCTATTATTACGATACAGTATATCACTCGGCCAAACACCTTCAAAGTTTCTATACTAATTAAATGCTCTTTCATTTGGGTTTTTTGAATTCACGTATAAGATGTGACACCTTATTAGCTGCAGAGGTAAAGCTTATTATATTTCATGTTTTTATTAAACTAATGACATTAATTAACTATATATGATTGACCAATGAAAAATAAATTAATCAATATCTTGCTTTTATTTGATTTTTCATGAACATCACAGGTGCATAAATATTTTTCTTGACCTAATAACAATAATAATATATCTGGTGTATAAGGATATATACGTAACTTCATTCTTATCTGATGAAAGTAGAATAGTTATTTTTGAAAGACCCTCGGTTTAAAAGTAAAGCATAACAAAATTACGTACGAAAAGAAAAAATATAGTGATGTATAAATGAACAATAATAACTAGTGAATACAATAAGTAAATGACCAAACACAAGGAATTACCAGTAATAATAAAATCAAAGAACATGGATAGTATGTGAGTAATACTAACAATCTTTGTAAGGTAAAGTAGACATGACTCGTCTACTCACCAACATTCTACTCAATTTTTTCTAATCGTCGAAATTATCTCAATTGTGTCCCACTGCCATTGGAGCACTCTCTGATACGTATTCAATAAATATTTTTTTTATATCTAATGTCATATCCTCAGTAAATCGTAAACGTATAATTTTATTCTCTCTACTACTTTTTTAACTTATCTCTCTAATATAAGTTTTTTCTTGACCGCTAACTTCAAAATTTTAGTTTTGTTGCAAAATGTATTTCTAGTTTAAACTTTAAAGTAACTAAGTCTAGAAAACTTTTCT